GGGAAGCCTGGTGTGCTGCAGTCCATGGGTTCACAAAGAGTCAAACAAGACTTTGTGACTGAACAACAATACCATGGAAATCCCAAATGAACGTTTTGGCCAACTCAACATACAGAAATATAATTGACTTTGGGTCCTGCAACCTTGATAAGCTCCCTTGTAAGTTCTAGAAATTTCTTCATAGATTTCATTTAATTTTCTACATAATCAATCATGTCTTTTGCTAATAAAGACAGTTTTACTTCTTCCTTTCCAATTTGGATTTCTTTTACTTCTTTCTCTTTCCTGAATGCACTGGCTAAAACCTCCAATACAATGTTGAATGAAAGTGATGAGAATGGACAACCTTTCATTATCCCTGACTGATTTCTGTAGGTGTATTTGTAAATGTCTCTTATCAGATTAAGGAAGTTCCCTTCTATTCCTAACTTGCTGATACATTTTTTTTAAAATCAGTAATGAATATTGGATTTTTCCCAAATATTTTTCTGCATCTAGAGAGAGAACATGTATTTTTCATTTTTAGTTTAATATGATGAATTATATTAATTGAGTTTTAAAGTTTAAACCATCCTTGCATTCTTGGGCAGATTCCCCTTGGGATTATCCTTTTTTATATAGTGTTAGATTCTATTCGTATTCTTTATTCATTGGCATGTTAATGATGGATACTGGGCTGTAGTTTTCTTGTAGTATCTTTGTTTGATTTTGATATCAAAATGTCTTCCAGAATGAGGTGGGAAATATTGTCTTCAGTTTTCTGGAAGGTTTGTATGGAATTGGTATTACTCTTCCTTAAATGTTTGGTAGAATTTATCAATGAGACTGTCTGAATCTAGAGTTTTCTTTAGGGGAAGGTTTTAACTACAAATTCAATTTTTTTTTTTAATTAAAAAAATGTTTTGGGCCATGCCATGTAGCATGCAGAGTATTATTTCCCAATCAAGGATCAAACCTGTGCCCCCTGCAATGAAAGTACAGAGTCTTAACCACTGGATTGCTAGGGAAGTCCCTACAAATTCAATTTTTAAATATACGTATAGAACTTTCCTAGTGGCTCAGATGGTAAAGAATCTGCCCATAATGTGGGAGACCCGGATTTGATCCCTGGGTCAGGAAAATCCCCTGGAGAAGTGAATGGCTACCCACTCCAATATTCTTGCCTGGAGAATTCCATGGACAGAGGGGCCTGGCAGGCTGTAGTCCGTGGGGTTGCAAAGAGTCAGGCATCACTGAGCAACTAACACTTTTGTAAGGCTATTAAAGTTATTTCTATATTCTTACACAAGCTTTGGTAGTATATTTCATGAAATTTGTCCACTTCATTTAAATGGTAAAAATTTGTTGGTGCAAGGTAATTCATAATAAATATTCCCTTATTATCTTTGAATACTTACTTAAACTGTAGTGGTGTCACCTCCTTCATGTGTGTCTTATCTCCTTTTTTCATGATCAGTCTGGCTAGAAATTTGTCAGTCTTATTGGTCCTCTCAACGAGCTAGATTTTGGTTTCTTTGATATTTATTGTCTGTTTGTTTATATACTTACACTCTGATCTACATTATTTCCCTTCTTCCACTTACATTATGTATAGTTTTCTCTTATTTTGCTTTCTTGCAGCAGAAGCTGAGGTCATTGATTTGAAAACTGTATTCTTTTCTAATACAGGTGTTTATTGCTATAAAATTCCCCTTAAGCATCATTTTAGCACATCTCACACATTTTGACATGTGCTTTTATTTTCACTCAATTCGAAATACTCTCAATTTTCCCTTTTGATCTCTTCTTTGATCCTAATGTTATTTAAAAGTTTGTTAGTCTACAAATGTTTAGGAATTTCCCAGGTAGTGTTTTGTCACTAATTTTTAATTTAATTCCATTGTGGTCATAGAACATACTTTTTATGATTTAATTTATTCTAAATTTTCTGAGTCTTATTTTATGGTCTAGAGTGTGGTTTGTCCTGATGAATGTTCCCTATGCACTTAAATGTATTCTGGTGTTGTTGGGTGGAGTGTTCTATAAATGTCGATTAAGTCAGGTTGGTTGATTGTGTTGTTCAAGTCTTCTATATCCATACTGATCTTCTGTCTAATTGTTCTAACAGTTATTGAGAAAGGAGTTTTGAAATGGCCAACTATAATTGCAGGTTTGTCTATTTCTTTTTTCATTTCTGTCAGTTTTTGCTTCATGTATTTTAAAGATCTGTTATTAGGTCCAAAGCAATTAGTATTGTTGCATTCTTTTAACAAACTGAGCCCTTTATAATTTTTAAATGACTTTCTTTATTTTTAGTAATATTCTTTGCCCTGAAATTTATTTCATTTATTATTAATGTAACCACTCCGGGTTTCTTTTGATCCATGTCAGCATGGTGCTTTTTTCTGTACTTTTATTTTTAACCTATTTGTGTCAACATTGAACATGAGTTTCTTGTAGGCAGCTGGGTCTTGATTTTTTAATCTAATCGGACTGCCTCTGCCTTTTATTTGGGATATTTAGACCTTTTACAAGAGGCAGTGATCAAGACCATCCCCAAGAAAAAGAAATGCATAAAGGCCAAATGGTTGTCTGAGGAGGCCTTACAAATAGCTGAGAAAAGAAGAGAAGCTAAAGGCAAAGGAGAAAAGGAAAGATATATGCATTTGAACGCAGAGTTCCAAAGAATAGCAAGGAGAGATAAGAAAGACTTCCTCAGTGATCAATGCAAAGAAATAGAGGAAAATAATAGAATGGGAAAGACTGAGGTTTCTTCAAGAAAATTGCTATTTCAGTGGTCATGTATGGATGTGAGAGTTGGTCTATGAAGAAAGCTTAGCCCCAAAGAATTGATGCTTTTGAACTGTGGTGTTAGATAAGACTCTTGAGAGTCCCTTCGACTGCAAGGAGATCTAACCGGTCCACTCTAAAGGAAATCAGTTCTGAATATTCATTGGAAGGACTGATGCTGAAGCTGCAACTCCAATACTTTGGCCACTTGATGCGAAGAACCGACTCATTGGAAAAGACCCTGGTGCTGGGAAAGATTGAAGGCAGGAGGAGAAGGCGACGACAGAGGATGAGATGGTTGGATGGCATCACCAACCCTATGGACATGAGTTCGAGTAAGCTCTGGGAGTTACTGATGGACAGGGAAGCCTGGCGTATTGCAGTCCATGGAATCGCAAAGAGTTGGACATGACTGAGGGACTGAACTAAACTGAGACCTTTTACAGTTAGTATGTTATTAACATGGTTAGACTTAAGACAGTTTTATTTTATTCTCTTTGCCCCATATAGTCTTAGTTCCTTTTTCTTCTCTTCTGCCTTCTTTTGGACTGAGAATTTTTTATTATTCCATTTTATTTCCTTTGGTTTTTTTAGCTATAAATATTTAATTTAGTGGTTGCTTCAGAGTTCATCCTTAAGTTATCAGTGTACCTTCAAATGATGTTAAACCTCTTCAGGTATAGTGTATACTATATATGAATAGTATACCACCATTTCCTTCCTCCTGACCTTTATACTATTGTTGTCATATATTTTATTTTCATACATGTTATAAACCCCACACTACATTACTATTATTTCTGTTTAAATGGTCAGCCATCATTTTAAAAAATTTACGTCATGAGAAATTTTTATACACTTATTCATGTTGTTACCATCTCTAGTCCTTTTTATTCCTTTCTGTAGATGTGTATTTCTGTTTGTAATAATTTGCCTTCTCCCTGAAGGGTTTCCTTTAACATCTCTTGTAGTGAAGGTGTACTGAAGATGAATTCTTTCCGGTTTTGTATACTGAAAAAAAAATCTTTATTTTACCTTTGTTTTTGAAATATACATTTCAAATTATAGAATTCTGGGTTGACTTTTTTCCTCCATCGGTGAAGGGTCTTGCCCCATTGTCTTCTCACTTGCGTTGTTTCTGAAGAGAAATTCCTGTCATTCTTTCTTTTGTTCCTCTGTGCATAAGCATCTTTTTTCCTCAGTCTGCTTTTAAGATTTTATCTTGGTCACTTATTTTGAGCAATTTGATTATGATGTGCATTGTTGTTTTATTCATGATTTTTTGTGCGTGGGGTCTGCTGCTCAAGCTTTTTGAATCAAGGGGTTTATCATTTTCATCAAGTTTGGAAAACTTTCATGCTCTTTTAAGATGTCTGTTAACCCATATATTGCTTGCTCATTCATTTGTGTCCCTTTGTGACCCCATGGGCTGTAGCCAGCCAGGCTTCTCTGTCCATGGAATTTTCCAGGCAAGAATACTGGAGTGGGTTGCCATTTTGTACTCCAGGGGATCTTCCTGACCCAGTGATTGAACCTGTGTCTCTTGTGTCTCCTGCATTGGCAGGCAGGCTCTTTTCCATTGCACCATATATTAGGATGTACCAAAGCCTGGAAAATTTCTCAAGCCAGTAAGTCAGAGTGATCATAAAGTCCATATTATTTCTCATCTCTTAGAGATCACCATTCTTTGTTGTCATGTCCAGAATCTTTTTTCATGTATTCTCTCTCTCTCTCTCTTTTTTATTGTTAGTTTCACAGGAGAGGAAATGTAGATTTCATCTTGTTACTCCATCTTGACCAGGAACAGATCTCACCCATCTTGGTATTTTAAAAATCAACTTCACCAACTTGGTTAAGTTTTTCTAATAGCTTTTGTTAAATGGGCACTGAATAGCACTGTAAGACTGAGTATCTGGAAGCTGATTTGAATTTAGAATTTTGCTGTGAACAATTGAGAATTGAAGATAATTGAGAATGACATAGAATTCAGCTATAATTGACTATTGTCTGTGTGGAGCAGCAATCTCAACCTCACTGATAATTCAGCCCCATGCGAGACATGCTAGTTTCACTTGTCTAGAGTATGACCTGGACATCAGGATTCTTGAAAGCCCCCAGGTGATCATAATGTACAGCCAAGGTAAAGAGCCACTGAGGAGGTGTATGGTTCGTGGTCCTCCTCCATCTCTGATCCACTCTGTCTTTCCTCCCTCTGTGTCCTCCCTCCCCAGCAAAGTCCAGGTCCTGTATGGGGGCACAGACCTCTTTGATTATGAGGTTCGCAGAACCTTCAACAACGACATGCTCCTGGCCTTCATTAGCAGCAGCTGCATTGCAGCCCTCGTCTACGTTCTCACCTCCTGCTCAGGTACAGTTTCTCCAGAGGCCCCGCGTGGAGCCAGCCCCTTCATTCCTCCCAGAGTGCTTCTCTCTGGACAAAGCCTTCCTGCCCAGGAATGCCAGAAATGGGCTTGAATCCACTGTATTAGAGCTGGCGGTGGGACAGCTGCTCAGACATCACCTTCTAACCCTGGGCAGGGAGACTGAGATACAGAGGCAGACAGGGCCATGCCCCAGGGCCCGCTCCCCCAGCACCTCCTACAGTTGAACTTTTCTTTGACGGTCTTTTTCTTGCTGATAAGTTCTGTGGAGTCTGGAGTATTGGACACTTTATGGATTATTCCTTAGCCTGTTTATTATTATTATTTAGTATTTATTTATTTGGCTGTAACAGGTCTTAGTTGTGGGATCCTCATTGTGTTGCGCGGGATCTTTTGTTGCAGTATAAATTGTTTGCTGCAGCTCACGGGCTTCTCTATAGTTGTACAAAGGGCTCTCTAGTTGATGGTGCATGAGCTCCAGAGCGCATGGGCTCAGTAGTTAACACGCACCGACTTAGTTGCCCTGTGGCATGTGGGATCTTAGTTCCCCAACCAGGGATCAAACCTGTGTCCCCTGCACTGGAAGGTAGCTTCCCAAGCACTGGATCACTGCCAGGGAAGTCCCATCCTTAGCCTGTTTTAAAGTCTCAGGTGAGCTGCCATTAGACTCCCAGTTCACTTTTCCACTGCCCCCTCCCCATGCACCCTAGCTGCTTCTTTCTGCATATATAGGAAGTACTCTTCATTGGCCAAGTGAATGAGAGATTGGTCATACCTTCAAAAATGGAAAAGACATTCACTCATCCACATAACAAATATTACCCGGGCACAAACTATGTGCCAGATGCTCTCAGGTGCCAGAGTTCTAGTAGTGAACATCGCAGATGTACTTCCTCCCTCCATGGAACCTCTAATTTATTGGGGTGACAGATGTTAGAAATATAATAATTCCCTACTAACATGTGAAGTAAGCTCTGCAAAGATGAGGGCCCATGAACAACCTGACTTATGCAACAAGGGTTCATCTGCTATACTCAGCCCTCCTGCCTGGCACCTTCTCTGGGCATGGAGAACTATACTGGGCTTGGATGGGGTGGTGAAGGTGCCCCTGGGGATGAGGGTGTATGAGGCAGGGCCCAGCCGGGGCCAGAGACACTGAAAGGCTGTGTTCTGTTGGGTCCCCCGCTCCATCCCCCATGGCTTGCCCTGCGCAGTGTTCCTGTCCTTCTTCGGGATTGCCAGCATCGGCCTCAGTTGCCTGGTGGCACTCTTCCTGTACCATGTGGTCTTCGGTATCCAGTACCTGGGCATCCTCAATGGGGTAGCTGCCTTTGTGATAGTGGGCATCGGTGAGTTGATTCTGTTGCCACGGATATGGGCCTCCCACTTGGGAATTTGACCCCAAAGGGCCTTTTACAGGCTGCAAAAGTCTGGCTTCCATGGGGGCTCTCAAAAGTCCTCTCTCCAACCTCAGAGCCTTGGACTTGGGGTGGAGGGTGGGTAGAGTGTGAGTGGTGAGTGATTCTTGGCATATGGTGGGTGGAACCCCCCAGAGGTGGAAGGAGTGGGTGGATATGCTGAGTGAAGGTTAAGTATGGTGCGAAAGGTGAGGGGTGGTGAAGATTTGGAGGAAGGGGTCTAGTTCTGATAAGGGAGGTGCCCATGCAGCATGAGGGTGGGGCTTGGGTTCATGGCTGAGGTTGGATATGACCTGGAGACAGTAGAGTAACCCGGCTGGCCTGGCCCCCTCCTGTAGGTGTGGACGACGTCTTTGTGTTCATCAACACCTACCGCCAGGCCACCCATCTGGAAGACCCTCAACTGCGGATGATCCACACCATCCAGACAGCGGGCAAGGCCACCTTCTTCACCTCGCTGACCACGGCCGCCGCCTATGCGGCTAACATCTTCTCCCAGGTGGGAGCCGGCCCTCCAGCCTGGCCTGGCGTCCCCTGCCCCCCGCCCCTGCCCATGCATACCTGGACCCTGGTCTCCGCTCTTCCCACCCACCCCTTCTCTTGGGGCCACGCAGCCTCCGCTTCAAGGTACTTGCCACGTCCCTAGAGTCCATTTTTGTTACTAATCACCATCACCAGAACTTAACAAATGGGAGTATTCTAGTAATACAAATTGTGTTTCTTATTGATGCTTATTACTGATAAGCCACCCTCGGCCCTGAAAGGCATTTAGCAGTTGTTTCCAAAGGTCCCCCAGCTGATACATGGTAATCCTGCCCATGACTCCTGACCCCAGTCCAGCGCCCTCTCCACCCACCAGCTGCATACTGCATTGTTATCCCTCACATGCACTTTCCTCTTGCTGGCCCCACACTCCTTCCTGTCTGAGCTGGGCTCAGGAGAAGGATCCTTGGCCAGGTCCTGGGTGCCAACAGAGCCTGAAAGGCAGTGAACCTGTCTGAGTATGAGAGGTCTTATGACCTGGGCTGAGGATCCTATCTAGAAACCACTAGATGCTCTGGGATTCTCCAGACTTTACTAGAGAACCACGCCCAGAAAACAAGCTGAGCTGAGTTCCCCTCCCTCCTCTGCAATTTTCTGACTGTGTGACCTTAGGCAGCTTGTTTAACTTCTGTGAGCCTCACTCTCCTCACATGTGGATCATCAGAGACTGGAATGAGATGCTTGTGAAAGTGTTCCACAGACAGTGAAGGAAGGCCTGTCTGCTTGTTGGCTGCAGCTTCCTTCTGACTGCCACACCCTGCTCAGGTCCCCCTGACATTCCTGGGGCTCACCCTGTGGCAGCTTTCTCTCCTGTCCCCTCTGCTAACATGTGCCCTGCTCTGACAGTGTGTGTCTTCCTCTGTCCTTCCTGTAATGAGTTACAGAAAGCTTGCTCTGGGCCGGGCCCTGTTCCGGGCAGAGAGCTGCAGTGTCGATCAGAGGCTGGACTCTTCCTCTGACATCCTCCTAGGCCAGTGCCTTCATTCCAGCAGCCTTGGCCTCCGCATCCTGCCTCAGTCTGGGGGTGGTCAGGGCCCAGTGCTGCAGAGTCCCTGGGCTCCTTGGGCTCCAGGCCTGATCCCCTCCCATCGCCCCCACCTTTCCATCACCAGATCCCAGCTGTCCATGACTTTGGCCTGTTCATGTCTCTGATCGTGTCCTGCTGCTGGCTGGCAGTGCTCTTCACCATGCCCGCGGCCCTGGGCATCTGGAGCCTTTACATGGCACCGCTGGAGAGTGCCTGCCAGACCAGGTAAGCCGGGCGGGTGAGGGGAGGACAGGGGCTGTGTCCTGCTCTCACTGAATAGCCATAACAGGCCCTTGGGGGGGCATTCAGCACACCATCCTCTCTCCCAAAAGCCTCGTGATTCACCACTGAGCACCTTCTGTATGCCCCATCCTCTGCTGGGCACTTCTGTGCACTCTTGTCTAATAGTTACATTTGATCACCTACTGTGTACCAGGAAGTGGACAGAGTGCTTTTGTACAGATCTTACTGCCATCCCCAGGGACCCTACAAGCTGGGTCCTCTTATTTTGCCCATTTTACAGACAAGGAGGCAAAGGCTTGGAGAGGCTGGGCAGCTTTCTTAAAGTCACCCATTTAATAGGCAGCAGAGCCAAGATTTAGACTGAACTGAACTGAACTGAATCTGACTCTGGATCCCATAGTCTTAGCCACCATGTTAAATGTCCTCTGGGTCCTCATCTTGAAAGAGGAACAGTATTTAGACCCAGTGAGCCAGGTGTGAAGTTGATTGGATCAGTCCAGATCTGCTGCAGCTGAAGGTAGAGGGCTTAGAGTCTTGTGGGCCAAGTCAGCAGGGTCAGGGCAGGAGGCATGGTGGTCAAGTGGAATCCGGCCCGAGTGGCTGTCGGTTGGGAGTACTAGGGACTGATAGAGGGCCTGGCCTTGGTGCAGGGCATGCAAATGCAGGACTGTCAGGGGTCCACAATAGTGTCCACTTGACCAGGGTGAGACGAGGGGCAGGAAGGAGATGAGAGGCCAGCAGGGAACTCAGATTAAGGCCTAGGAAGGACTTCTTAGCTCTCCCACGCATACATTTGCTTCAGGGTCTCTACGTATGGTTGTTCAGGTTGGGTACTGCACAAGAGCCCTCTAGCTGAGGCACAGTCCTCTGCACTGTGGTCATTTAGATTTGACTGTTTCTATGACAGTTTTGTGACATAGAAGCAAAGTGTCTTGGGTATAAGGCTCCTTTTTCCTAATTTCTACAAAGACACCAACTAAGCCCACCCTGTCCCTTCCCCTAGTCTGGGGTAGGGGACGCAGACTCAGCCTCCTTGCCCAGGAACTGTGGACCTTTGGACATGTAACTTAACCTCTATGCACCTCAGTTTCCTGTTCTATAAAATGGGTACATACATCCCTGTGGGGATTAATGAGAGAATCCATGAGGAGCTCTAGCTCACTCTCTGGCACATTCGCCCTGTGTGCTGTTCTTGTCCCCAGTCTCCAGGGTGAGCCTTGGTCCCCACATTCACTCCAGCTGAGGCCTCAGCTGCACACTCAGCCCAGCCCTGCTTCCCCATCCCCCTGGTCTCAGGGCCCCGGGCACTCGACAGCACAGGCGTGATCCCCCTGCCCTGGTCACCTCGATGCTTGGACAGCTGCGTGCCATCATCTGCTGTCCCTAGTGATGGCTACTGTCACCATTTGTCTCCCCAGAGGAACTGTGGTACCCAAGGGCCCTGGGGGAGATGACACTGGTGAGAATTCAGACACAGGCTCCTGGAAGCCTGTGAGGCGTGTCCTGTGGGTTGTCAGCAGCAGTGTGATGCCTGGTTGACATGTAGCCTGGATTCCCAGGACTCACCCTTCCCCCACTCTCTCTGCAGCTGCAACCAGAAGTGCGGCCGCAGGAGTTCCCCACACTTCCCTGGGGATGTGTTCACGGCTCCTGAGCCTGCTGGGGGTGGGCCCGCACAAGGCCCCATGCCCTACCTGGACGATGACATCCCCCTGCTGAGTGTGGAGGAGGAGCCAGGTGAGAGGGGGTGCGGGTCTGCCGCTGAACCTGGGGGACCCAGGCGCTGCCTCTGCCAGGGGGAGTACCTTGATGAGCTGGTGTGAGGACCAGCTGGTTCTGAGGTGGGGGCGGGATGAGACACCTGGGAGGATCCCTGTCAAGCATCTGAGCTTCCCTGGAGGGGGTGTGGACGGGGGGGGGGCTTTGATCCACTTCTGGGCCAGCCCTCTGACAGGCCGCTCCTCTGCCCTGGCAGTGTCGCTAGAGCTGGGAGATGTGTCCCTGGTGTCTGTGCCGCCCGAGGGCCTGCAGCCGGCCCCCAACGGGAGCAGCCGGGGGCAGCTCATTGCCCAGCTGCAGGAGCTGCTGCACCACTGGGTCCTGTGGTCGGCCGTCAAGAGCCGTTGGGTGATTGTGGGTAAGTGGGCTCTCCACTCTCCTTCCCCCATCCCGCAGTGTCTCCCAGCGCCTGAGATGTGGAGAACAGACTCCCCCCACCATTTTCTCAAAGAACTTGCAAGTCTTGGGAGCCCGCCCCTTGTCCCACAGGTGAGCTAGAGTTCAGAGACCTGGGCTCAGGTCGCTCACTCTCTTGGAGCCTCACCCACTCCCTGCAGAAAATAAAGCCGGTCTCACGATAGCTGTTGCTTATTGAGCACCTCCTACGTCCCGGTCATCATGCTAGACAGCAAAGCAGAGTGCCCAGTGCTTGGGCTCTGGCATTAGACCAGTTTGGCTAATTGGGATCCTGACTCTGCCACGTTCTGGTGGTGTCACCTGGACTGGGGCAGTTAGTCTGTGCCTCAGTTTCCTATCTTATGACTGAGGAGAAGAACACTATCTAGTAAGGCTGTTGTAAGGAAACCACAGTATGTAAAGGATTTAGCCCAGTGCGAGGCATGCAGTAGTGCTCAATGAAAGTTAAGTGCTATTATTATTATCGTTGTAAAGATTTAGGTCTGTGTAAGACCAAGTGGATGTGCCGGCTCTTTATAGACTGTTCAGGGCTCTAAGATGATGACTGCCTCTTGTCCAGGAATGTGAGCTGAAACTTGGAGTCCAACCCCTGCTGACATGCATGACAGCCGGCCCCTACCTTCAAGGGAATGATCCCCAGCAGCCTCACCCACAAGCTGGCGTGCTGGGTCTCTGCCCACTCCCTTGGGATACCTGCCCTCCTCCTCCCCATAGAGGGAGCAGCTCTTTCCCGGGGCTCTGGAGGCTCCGGCTGTGCGTGTGTCCCCCCGCCCTGGGCCCCAGCCCTGCCTAGCACAGTGTCCTTTCCTCCCAGGGCTCTTCGTCTCCATCCTCGTCCTGTCCCTGGTGTTTGCCAGCCGGCTCCGCCCTGCCAGCCGGGCCCCGCTGCTCTTCCGGCCCGATACCAACATCCAGGTGCTGCTGGACCTCAAGTATAACCTGAGCGCCGAGGGCATCTCCTGCATCACCTGTTCAGGTGAGGTTTCCTGCTGGGGTGTCCCCTTTGGAGTCCAGATCCCAAAGACTAGAGATGCCAGGCTCCCCATCATCGCGTGAGCTTAGGAAATCAACTCCACCTCTAAAAAATGTTAGTCGCTCAGTCATGTCCGACTCTTTGCAACCCCATGGACTGTAGCCCCACCAGTCTTCTCCGTCCATGGGATTCTCCAGGCAAGAATACTGGAGTGGGTAGCCATTCCCTTCTCCAGGGGATCTTCCCAACTCAGGGATCAAACCCAAGACTCCCACACTCTAGGCAGATTCTTAATCATCTGAGCCACCAGGGAGTCTCTGTTTCCACATTTCATTAAATGAATACTTCCTGGGTGCCAGCCGTGCCGGTGCTGGGGAGGCCGCAGTGGGCAGGACAGGCTTCCCAAGCTCAGGAATTCACTCCACTGCCCCAGAGGCCATGTAATAGTAGATCTGAGCTGTGGTGGACAAAAAGCAGGGTGCCTGGGGAGCTCAGCGTCATAGAGATCTTCCTGGAGGAGGAAGATCTAAGCCAAGACTCGTGGAATGGGAAGGACTTAGCCTGGCTGGGAGGGGACAGGAGGGAAGTGGTCTAGGCAGAGGAGAGCAGCAGAGGTGGGAGAGACTAGGACCAGGTTTGAGGGAGGTAGTTGCATGAGCCAAAGCTAGCCCCATGGGCCCGGTGGGCTACAGTGCGGAGTCTGGATTACATTGTCATTGTCACTGGAAGTTAGTGGAGCGCTTTCTGCAGAGGGGCCAGGTGCTGTGTGGCTAGAGGGCTGTGTGGAGCGTGGCTGGGAGTCCAGGTGGGAGGCTGTGTAGTCATCTCTACAAAAGACTGTTGGGGCTGGGGCCAGCGTGGTTGACGGTGGCAGTGAAGTCAAGAGGTTTTTAGGAGGTGACATCCACAGGACTTGGTGATGGAACGTGTGCCGGGGGTGAGCAAAGAGGTGAGATAAAGATGTCTGCTTGTCTTAGAGTTAGTCTGATAAGGTCCAGGGTGGGGCGGGGGAAGTCAACCCAAGGGCATACCACTTTGCCGGGTAGTTAGAAACCAAATGAGAAGACGCTTGGGTGAGTGCTCCCAGCTCCTAGGGGAAGACCCGCTGACTGCTGTAATTGCCTTCATGTAATTAGGGCAGTGTTCAGATTAACCTGGCCTTCCCCTTGGTGATGGCATGAGCCGAATGCATGATAATCGGCGGAGGCTCAGGGAGGTGCCTGAGGATCCCCTCTTGAATTGGTGGCGACCTGGCCCTGTCCCCTCCTTCACTCCCGCCTGCCAGGCATTGAATTCCATTCCATTCTCACTGCCCCTGCAAGGCCTCCCGCCACCCCTTGGGACCTGGAGGCAAAAAGCCACATTGCTCCCATTTCACAGATGGACAGACTCTGGGATGATCCCAAAGTTCCTGGAAACATCTGGAGAAGGGCCAAGACCCCAGCCAGAGTCCAGCCCATGGCCCCTTGTATCTCCCAGCCTCTGAGCTGCCTCCTAAAAAGGCCCTTTATGTTGAAGCAAAAAAAGCTTCGGCTGTAGGGGCAGATAGGACCTGTCCTGCTGGGCTCCACCTGTCACTTCCCCTACAGGTCATGTAACCTCCTTGAACCTCTGCTTGCTTCCCTGTCAAATGGGGTTAATAATAACCACCTCCTAGAATTACTGCGAGGATTGCATTTTTGAAGGTGTAAAATGTAGCTCATTAAAAAAACAAAACCAACAAAAAATTCATCTACAATGCTTGGGGCAAAACAGGCAGTCTCCCCTCATCTCTACTGTTTCTAATTATTCCTATTTATGGAGCATTCAGCATGAGCCAGACACGTTGCTAAGCCCATGAGATGCAGTGTCCCCTTTGGTCCCTCAGCCACCCTCTGGAGGTAACCCTTGGGGGTGTCATCCCATTTGACAGAGGGGGAAAGTGAGGCAAGGTGAGGGTGAGTAGGGAAAGCTTCTGAGTATCTTTCTCTAGGTAAGGCTGGCAGGTACCTTTCTTTTGCCTTAAGATTCTTATGCATTTGGCATTTTTTCAGTTCCCCCCTTGTTTGTTTTAGAAAAAACCCTTTCCTCAGACACCCTGACACCACCCCCTTTTCTGAGGGCTCCAGGGCCCATGTCCCTGAGATTGTTACTGTCCCAACCTTGGCCAAACCCAGCTGGGGAGGCCCTCCTGTCCCTGACACAACGCGGGGGTAGGTCTGTTCCAGGAGAAGCCCCACAGCCTGCAGAACAACATCCGGACATCCCTGGAGAAGAAGAAGCGGGGTTCCGGGGTGTCCTGGGCCAGCCGGCCTGAGGCCACCCTTCAGGGTCAGTGGGGAATGTGGACTGGCTGGGTGGGGGTGTTGGGATGTCCTGGTAAAGGGTGTGGGGGTCTTGCAGGGAGAGCAGATAAAATCCCTTCTTTGATTCTCCTTCAAGAACAACAGGGGTGGGTGGGGTGGGGATGGGGGAGTGAACTTGAGGCCCTCACCTGGCGTCCCACCAGCTCTCCTCGGCCAGAACAAGGTGATCCCCTCCTGCCACACCCCAGCCTGGCTTGTGCTGTCCCATGAACCCTCCTTGTGTGCCAGATCCATCCTGATTTGGGGGAGGGGGCCTCCTGAACACTGGAGCCTAGCTTATTGCTTATTGCTTCTGGGGTCCCTGTCAGAGAAGGAATGCTCGGATACATGTGGGAATTACTCCTGGCTTGGGGCAGTTCCATATGTCCTTGTCACCCACGACCATCATTACCTCCTCTGTGCCCACCATCATCATCACCAATGTGGCCCCACCTTTCACACTGTGCTCCCATCATTGGCATCACTCCACTTCCCTAGTCCATACTGGCACATCTCTACTATGGCTTCCACCTGCACTCACTTCCTCCACCCCTGCCACCTCCCACCCCAGTGTCCACCACCACCTCCCCTCCATCTATGCCACCGTCCATCCCAGTACCCACCACCACCACCTGCACCCCCGCCCCCACCACCACTGCTGTGGGCTCGGTCCACTCTATAGGAACAGAGCCAGCACTTGGAGACCAGCCCGAGATGAGGCTCAGCTCCTCGGTCAGCAGAGCAGAGGCTGGGCTGCTGCAGGGTCAGGGGGACACCAGCCGAGGTGATCGTCCCTCCTCCTCCACCCCTCGTTTGTCCCTAGACTCCCCAGGCACCGTGTACATCTCCAAGGTGAAGAACAGAGGCCACCCGACTGTCTACAGGTTCTCCCTCAACGCCAGCCTGCCTGCCCCTTGGCAGACCGTGTCCCTTGGGGACGGGGAGGTGCCCTCCTTCCAGGTGAGCCTGGGCTCTCATGAAGTGAGCTGCCACGACCAGGGAAGGGGCCCTCAGTGCTGCGTTGGTGGGCAATGGCCACGTGGTGGCAGGGGCAGGGTCTGCGAGGATGCACCCGCTCCAGGCAAATGAGGACCCTCTCCTGCCATCAGCCAGGCTCGTGGCAGGAGCCTGCAGAGTGATGAAAGCAGGGCTGCTGAGTCAGCCAGGCCTGGGTTCGAGTTCTGGCTGTGCCATTTATAACCTGTGTGTCTTTGGGAAGGTTACTTCATCTCTCTGAGCCTCAGTTTCCTCATCTGGGTAATGGGGGTATGAAAGGTACCACTCAGGCTTGCTGGAGGTACTTGAGGCAAGGTCTGTGAGTTCTGTAACACCTGGAATGTAGTAAGCACTCAATAAACGGGGAGCCATGAGTTTGTTGTTTTCAGCCTCTGTTCTAACACCCCCAGAAAAGGGTCTCCCAGGGCCAACCCAGGCCTCTGATTTTTTCCTCTCAAACATCACTGGTGTTTCTTTAACATGTTACACCTCCAGAGTGACAGTACCCATGTCAACTCATGTCAACTCATCTGATCAGGGTTTGTATGTCCATCTGAAAGACAGAGTGTGTGAGGCGTTTCCCTGGCTCTGACCTTTACACTAACCTTTACAAGGTGATTCCCACTGCCTGGAGAGCCTGCCTTCCAGCTTAAAGCGCGGCTGGCTCCCCATTCAGGTTTCTCAGCATAATGTCACCTCCTTCTTGGGCCATGTCCTGGAAATAATTCTCAGTTCACCCTCCTCTTCCACTGCCCCATTCCTCTGGGTCTTATCATCCTAATATTTAAGTCAAAGCCCTTAAAAGAATCTGAAGCCATCGTCACTGGCAGCTCTAGGAGGGCATGGACCAAGCCCATCTGGTTCCGTCTCTTATTCTCACAGCCCAGCTCAGGGCTGGAAGAATCCTCAGTTGAAGGAAGGACTGAGGCTCAGAGAGAGAGAGAGGGAAGGGTTTTCCCCACCTTTAAACTTGAACCCAGGCCTCCTGGGTTCTGCCCAGAGCTCTTCCCCCGACTCTGGGGGCTGGAACAGGGGCGGGGGGCGGGGAGCTCTCCTAGGCGGGAGGGGACCCAGCCTGAGGCCCGGCCCAGGCAGAGGCAGCCTCCCCGAGTCACCTGTCTTGTCTCTGTCAATCCACTGCTTAGGTGTATAGAGCGCCTTTTGGTAACTTCACCAAGAAGCTGACCGCTTGTATGTCTACAGTAGGGCTGCTCCAGGCGGCGAGCCCCTCCCGCAAGTGGATGGTGACGACCTTGGCCTGCGACACCAAGCGGGGCTGGAAGCTTGACTTCAGCTTCTACGTGGCCGCCCAGGAGCAGCAGCACACCCGGTAACGGAGCCTTGCAGACAAGCCAGTTCCCACTCATTTGCCCCTCCCACCAGAGATGTCAGCAGGCCCCTTGAAGCAACCCCTGTCCAGGCTCTTCCCTGGTGGTCTGGTGGTTAAGACTTCACCTTCCAGTGCAGAGAGTGCAAGTTCGATCCCTGGTCGGTGAAGCTACAGTCCCACATGCCTCAAGGGCATAAAACCAAAACCTAAAACAAAAGCAATATTGTAACAAAGTCAATAAAGACTTTAAAAAGTGGCCCACATTAAAAAAAAAAATCTTTTTTTTAAAAAGAAACCCCTGCCTATTTCCACACGTGTGCTTTCACAGTCTTCCCCCCCAGGGCTGGAGGTGGGGGAACACCAAGATGCCAGGCCTGCAGTTCTCTCCCCCATCTGCCCTTTATCCTCTGAATGGCTGTGTGAGAGATGCTGTCTGCCTGCCCCTTGGCACACCAGGCAGTTCCCAGCTCAGAGCTCCTGCATTTGCTGTTCCCTGGACCTATGGTGCTCTTCCCCAGCTCCTCCAGAAATGGACTTTTTTTTCCCTGGCCGCACCACATGGCATGCGAGATCTTAGTTCCCTGACCGGGGATCAAACCGACGTCCCCTGCGGTGGAAGGCAGAGTCTTAACCACAGGACCATGAGGGAAGTCCGTGATTGACTCCTTCTCAAGATTTAGGTCCTTATCCAGATACTCCCCACCCACGGCTGTCTCTGACCAGACCGTCCTCCCCCAGCTGAAACAGCCACACCCCATCTGTCCCCATACATCACCCAGCTGCTCTCTTTCTGGTTCCCATCACCGCCTGGAATCATACTGACAGCTGGTTCATTACCTGTGCTTGCTCAGGAGAATGTAGGCCTCCTGCCGTATCCCCTCACCTGGTCCAGGGCCTGGCACGTAGCAGGTGCTCAGGAAACACTTGGTGGGTAAATGAGTGATGGAAAGAATGAGTACACTCTGCCTGCCTCTCCAAGGCTCTATCCACACTCTCAGTGCATACAGTTAATTCAGAAGTTATTTATTTAGTGTTCTCCCTCCCTGAAGAATCTGCCTGCAAGGCGGGAGACCCGGGTTTGATCCCTGGGTTTGGAAGATCCCCTGGAGGAGGGCAAGCAACCCACTCCAGTATTCTTGCATGGAGAATCCCATGGACATAGGAGCCTGGTGGGCTATAGTCCATGGGGTCGCAAAAAGTCAAACACAACTGAGCGACTAATGCTCCCTAAGACTCTAAGGTGACAGGAGAGAGCCTGTGTCTGTTGTCCTTATCTGCTATATACACATGCCCTGCCTAGCAGCTGGCATAAAGTCAGTGCCCCCAAATACTTGTGAGCAACTATGTGCTGTGCCTTGGGGGTCTTCAAGCCAGCTGGGGGCATCTTTTCCCAGGTTCCTCCCCCACGTTCTGACCATTGAGGCTGTGTTAGCTGAGGACCTTACTCTCTCTCATCCATTCATTCATTTAATAAACCTTAAGCACTGACAGTGGGCCGGCATGTGGCTAGTGCTGGGGATGGTAAACAAGATAGATGTGACTCCTGCCCTCGGGCTGACTAGCAGGAGACAGCAGCTAGCAAGTCAAGCGCAATGTCATTACAAATTACAATACGTGCTCTGAAAGGAAGAACCCGCTGCCGTCGCAGTCCAGATAACGGCAGTTCAGGGCCTGCGCTGCTGACACCAGGGACCATGGTCTGTTTGGCAGGGCCTGGCCTTGGGGCAGCGAGCACCCACATGAGGCTGGACTCAGCTTGGGGCTGGGAGGTAAAAAAGAGGGGCTCACTGAGCCATTCCAGCTTGGCCCACCTGGCTCGGGAAGTGGGGGGTCCTCCCTCTGCAGATACACAATAGCCACTGGGGTCATGCTGCCTGGATGAACTTAGAACATTCTAGAAAGCACCTGGAACTACATCAGGAAAGTATGTTAGTCGCTCAGTCGTGTCTGACTCTTTGTGACCCCATGGACTGTAGCCAGCCAGGCTCCCCTGTCCATGGAATTTTCCAGGCGAGAATACTGGAGTGGGTTGCCATTCCCTTCTCCAGGGGACCTTTCCAACCCAGGGATAGAACCTGGGTCTCCTGCATTACATGCAGACTGTTTACCACTGAGCCACCAGGGAATCCAAAGCTATATCAAGTCCAGTGGTAAATAAGCTGACTGTGGAATCCTTTCTTCAAATAGAATCTTGAGGCTCTGTAACTGTTCAGTTTAAGGTGGGGCTGGGGGCTTCTGAGCAATGACACCAAGGCTGGCCCTGAGGTCCTTCTGAATTCTTGCTACCCTGGAGGGCTTCCCAGGTGGCGTTAGTGGTAAAGAACCTGCCTGCCAATGCAGGAGACGTCAGAGATGCTGGTTGGATCCCTGGGTTGCTCTTCCAGCCTCTGCACGCCTTTGCCTCTCCTCCGCAGCCCCTCTTGGCCTTCCTGGCCTCAGTCCCGGCCTCCTTTGCCTCCACAGGAAGCTGTATTTTGCCCAGTCCCACAAGCCCCCTTTCCATGGGCGTGTGTGCGTGGCACCTCCTGGCTGCTTGCTCAGCTCCAGTCCCGATGGGCCAACCAAAGGCTTCTTTTACGTGCCCAGTGAGAAAGGTACGTGCAGGGAGGCTGCCGTGGGGCCTTGGGAGGCTGGGCCTGGCCTTCCTGTACAGCTATGCCTCCCTCTGCAGCACCCAAGGCCCACCTCTCCGCCACCTTCGGCTTCAACCCCTGCATTAACACGGGCTGTGGGAAGCCAGCAGTGCGGCCGCTGGTGGACACAGGGGCCATGGTCTTCGTGGTCTTTGGCATCATTGGCATCAACCGCACACGGCAGGTGGACAACCACGTCATTGGAGACCCAGTACGTGCGCCCACATTGGACAGCTGCCAGAGGGCCCTACCACAGCAAGCTTATGAACAACTGCCAGTGCAGGGACTACCAGCCCAGCTCCCCACCTCCACCCTTAGCTCCTTGACCACTCACCCAGCCCAGACAGGACCTCCCCGGGCCCCTGGGGCATCATTTCTCTCAAGGATGGAGCAGGGTCAAGCTTTTAGAATCACCCAGGAACCTGGGTACCGTGGGACCTAGCCAGCCACGCTGCATCACTAGGGGTGGAAAGGAGGTGAGGGAAATAGGTGTGTAAACCCTCCCTGTCCTTCTGCAGGGGGCTCCTCCCCTACCTCATGCCCATAGCCCTTGTGTGCCTCAGCCAGGGTGCCCTCACCTGGGGTAGTCTCCCTCTTTGTACATGTTTGTGCTGGTGCTGGGCTCTTGGGCGCTGGAGGAGAAAGGATCTGACAGAGGTGTGACTCAGTCTGTGCCTGGCATATGATGGGGGCTGAGACGCAGTGGAAAGGACTGTGGATGTAGGTCTCGTTGGTCGTAACGCTTGCCTCGGAAGGTCAGCCCAGCCGGGTATACAGGGCTTCAGACACAAAGTAATTCAAGAGCCAGGTGGAGTCAGAGGAGTTGTAGCCAGTCTGGGCCATGAGTCTGCAGGTGTTCAGAGGAGGGATGGGGAGGTGGGGAGGAGAGGAAGCAGGTGATGGAGGGCAGGTGGGACTCCGCTATATGGAGGGAGAGGGGAAAGCAAGGGGCCCAGGTGAGCATGCTGTGAGTAAAATCAAGGAAGGGAGACTGAGGGGGTCCGTGGGGGTGGGCAGTGATGGGAGCAGAGGTGCTGCTGGGAGTGGGGCAGAGTGGGCTCAGGCAGGACCATGGGCAAAAAGGCCGAGGGTTTGAGTGCTGGCCAGGATGGTCGCAGGAGCTGCCGGAGGCTCCTCCCCGGGGTGGGGCCAGGACTGAGTCCCTGACTCACTGAGCAGCTACACTGGCTTGTGTCTCTTGGGAAAGGGCAGCGTCATCTATGACAGCAGCTTTGACCTCTTCAAAGAAATCGGGCACCTGTGTCGCCTCTGCAAGGCTATAGCGGGGAACTCAGAGTTGGTGAAGCCGGGTGGGGCCCAGTGCCTGCCCTCAGGTGGGTGTGAAGTCCAAGGTGGTGACAGCCCCCAGGACAGTGTGGGGGTGTCTGCAGACTCTCGTCTGTGTTGGTGTGTGTCCATGCGGGGGTGGGAGCTATGCGAACCTTCCAGATGAGAGCAGGCTCATGCCTGAGGATGAACTGGCACAGAGTCCACAGACCTGGGGATGTGTGCGGTGTGCAGGGCACACCTGTGGGAGGAGCTTTCCCAAAATTCGGGGTGAGGTCTGGGGCCAACCCCTCAGTAGCAGCCTGGGTCAGACTAGGGTTCTTCCTGAAAAGGCATGCATGTGCTGCGTGCTAAGTCACTTCAGTCATGTCTGACTCTTTGCAACCCATGGATTGTAGCCCACCAGACTCCTCTGTCCATGGGATTTCCCAGGCAAGAATACTGGGGTGGGTTGCCATTTCCTCCTCTAGGGGATCTTCCCGACCCAGGGATTGAACCCTCGTTTCTTACGTCTCCTGCACTGGCAGGTGGGTTCTGAGAAGGCATAGGATGTCAACTTCTGCCCCAATGGCAAACGGGTATTGTAGGTTTCCCAGTGACATTGCTAGTAGTTTCAGACATTTTTTAAACTAGGAGGTTGGGGGGAAAGCATGTGCCCCTGGCGTGTACACACTCAGATGGGTGGGTACACATGGGTTGGTGGAATGGGGGAAGAGGTGCTCCTGTCCCAGGTCCCCACCCCGACTCCCTCTCCACTCTCCCTGCAGGCTACAGCATCTCCTCCTTCCTGCACATGCTGCACCCTGAGTGCAAGGGGCTGCCCGAACCCCACCTGCTCCCAGGGCAGCTATCACATGGGGCTGTGGGTGTCAAAGATGGCCGCGTGCAGTGGATCTCCATGGCCTTCGAGTCGGTGAGCCCTGGGCGGACCAACCGGACACGGGGCAGCGTGCCAGCCTGCCGGAGTGCAGTGTCACCACTAATCTCCAGCCTCTGTCCCAGAGCAGAGCAGAGGGTTGCTCCTCAGAGGGGAGACTGAGGCTGAGAGGGATGCAATTGCTTTCCCAAGGTCACGGGATTCATGAGTGCCAGCATCAAGTGCAAAACCAGGCCATCTGACCACCAGGCTGGGCCTTTCTGCCACACAGAATGCCCGGCAGCTCTCACCTTGCTTCTTCCCCAGTGGTCAGGGTTCACATCGTCCCGTGGGGGCACACAACAGTTCAAGAGGCTCCCCTCTGCCACTGGGAGGGGCCAGGTTCTGGGCCACAGAGCCCCTGTGCTGGGTCCGCCCGGGAGAGATGAAGCCAGGGGACCAGCCATCCCCACACCCCACTGCTTCCTCTCTCCCACCCCTGATGCTCCCTGGGCTTCGCCAAGAGAGCACCCACATACACACCCATATACACGCACCCGTGTATACCCACCTATGCACACACACACACATGCACATCCAGACCTGGGCATTACAGGCCTGGCCCTGGCACCTGGCACTCTATGAGTCTTGCCTCGTGCTGAGCCCAGAGGCCCACCCTGGCTCCGGTCTTCCTGTGCTCTGCGTCTTTGAGCGGGACACTCGTCCCCTCCAGCCTCCAGCTCCTCCTCTAAAGATTAAGGTTTCAGTTCCCTGCCCACCTGCTGGCAGTCATCAGGAAGCTAGGGTCTATCACAGACGGGAAGGCATCAGGGAATGAGAAGAATATGACAGGGTGACAAGCCAGCAATTTTTGTTCTCTGGCCCCTGCCCTGCTTTCTGTCCCACCACCTGTTCCCCTCAGTGCATCTACAGCCTCGTCGCCAGCCACAGGGAGGAAGACCCAGACCCCCTCCAAGCCTTCATGGGGCCCCAGGCTAATGCAGAAGGCACTCAAAGCCCCAAGTAGCTTTTTTTTAAATTGCACTATAATATACATCATAAAATTGGCCCTCTTAACCATTTCTAAGTGTATAGTTCAGTAATATTAAGCACATTCACAGTGATGCAAATGTCACCAACGTCCATCTTTAAAATCTTTCATCTTGAAAAAGTGAAACTGTTCCTGATAAATGTGGACTCCCCAGGGCCCCCCTCCAGCCACCACCCTGCTTCTGTCCCATGGATTTGACCACGCTCATCCCTCACACAGCACTGGCTTTTTGTGATTGGTTCATTCCACTTAGCATAATACTCTTCAGGTTCATCTGTGCTGTAGCCTATGTCCAGATTTCCTTCCTTTTTAAAGCTGAAGCTGCAGACAGGTTGAAGAATCCCTGCTCAGGTCCCTCCATGTGACAGGACATCACTTCCCACCCAACCAGCACTCATACACACATGTGTGCACAGACTCACTGTGAACTGGTTTGTGCTCTGGGAGGGCAGAATTGGATCAATGAAGTAATACACATGAAAGTTCCAGAGCTGGGCACTGTGAAACCAGACAGGCCACCTGCCCTCCCAGACTCACAGTCCAGCCAGGAGAGGGTGGGGGCAGCTTGCTGACAGTGATGAGAACAATGATGGGAAAGCACCAAGGGCTTAAAGAGCCCAGAGGATGCCTGTCTTGGGGCATCAAGGAAGGCTTCCTGGAGGAGATGGAACCCTACTTGAAGGAGGGGCAGAAGCCAGCCGTGCGGGCAGAGGAAGCAGCATGGGCCAAGGTTGGGACTCCGAGCCAGGGGCTCTGGGAGTTGGAGATGGTCCTGTTGGAAAGGGGCAGGGACTTGGGTTGCTTTGGGACCTGCTGCCACTGCTGTGAGAGTCATGTGCACCCGAAGGCTGGTGGTAGGTGGCCTCGGATGGGCTCACCCTTCACCCTCCCACCCCATGCAGCACACTCCATTTGCAAGTGTCCAGGGACCAGCTGCAGCTGTTATAGAGCTGACTGGCCATCGTCAGGGCAGGTAACAGGCTTCAGCCATGCACCCGTCTCACTGGCTCGTGTCCCCGCAGACCACGTACAAGGGCAAGTCCTCCTTCCAGACCTACTCGGACTACCTCCGCTGGGAAAACTTCCTGCAGCAGCAGCTGAAGATGCTCCCCGAGGGCTCGGCCCTGCACCATGGCTTCCAGACCTGCGAGCACTGGAAGCAGATCTTCATGGAGATCATAGGCAAGCGGCAGCCCCTCCCACAGGGTCCTGGCACAGCGGGCGGTGGCAGGTGACCTGGACCAGGGAGGCTACAGGACAGGCCTGGCCTGTCTGAGCCATGCTTGTCTTCTCAATTCTGACCAAGCGCCCTGCAAGAACTGGAATGACACAGGGGCCACCAACACCGATTGGAAACCAGAGTTTGGGTCCCCTCCTGCTTGGGGGCATCTGGCCACATCCTCTGATCCGAGTTTGCCCGCTTAAAAAGAAATGGTAATGATGGTAATGGCCATCACAGCCAGCAGTGATTACCATTACCAGTGACTGCTGTAAGCAGCCATCTGTCATTAGGAGCCCTTCTCGATGCCAAGCCCTGGCTGAGGCCTGGCCCGTGTTATCTCTTTAAACTCCAAATGAGGCCCAGGTCGTAGGTACTGTTATTATCCCCTCTCACAAATGAAGAAATGGGGATTCAGAGAGGGCACGTGGCTGAAAGCTGCCAGAGTGCACAGCTGGCTGTGGCAGTGCCGATCTGCGTGATCCCCATGCCTCTGAACCGCGAGGGTGAGGGGGCTGTGGGTGCAGGCCAGCTGAGGGCCCTCACTTCTCCCTTGCAGGGGTGCAGAGCGCCCTGTACGGCCTGGCCCTGTCCCTGCTCATCTGCGTGGCTGCTGTGGCCGTGTTCACCACCCACGTGCTCCTCCTGCTGCCCGTGCTCCTTAGCATCTTGGGTAAGTGGGCCGAGGTCTCACTGGTGGTCTCAAGTTTCTCTCCACCCTTAACTCCCATCTCGTCAGTGAAGGTTTCCCGACACACACACAGCCCCCACCACAGGCAAGAAGAGCCTCTGTGACAGTTGTTCGTAGGGCTGTGCACCCAAGAGGAGCCAGCTGGCACCAGCTGGCACCAGGTGGCAGGTCTCAGCCCAGGGACGTGTTGCTGTCCCCTCTGTCACCTCTTTCAGGCCCCCTCAGCCCTCTCTGGCCCTGTCCCTCCTCATCTCGCCTGTCACCCGAGCTGGGGGATCTACCGTAGACTTCATTACCTTCCCCAGAGACCCTCTGAATTTGCCCAGCCCCCTTCCAGGACTGTATGGGTAAGGCCAGGTCCAAGCTACCTCCCTGCCCCCTGCAGGCATCGTGTGCCTCGTGGTGACCATCATGTACTGGAGTGGCTGGGAGATGGGTGCTGTGGAGGCCATCTCTCTGTCCATCCTCGTTGGCTCCTCCGTGGATTACTGCGTCCACCTGGTTGAGGGCTACCTGCTGGCTGGAGAGAATCTGCCCCCCCACCATGCTGAGGTGAGCCCCCCACCTTCCCCACCCATCCCCAAGGGATCTTCTCCCTCCCCAGTGCCACCGATGAAAGCCCCCAAGGGTAGCTGGACACCATGGTGTCCGATTCCCAACCAGGATGTGCTGCAGGAGCCTCCGTTTCCAGGGCCATTCTCCACACCAGGGGACTTGGGTTCTCAGGCAGCTGCACCCAGCATGACTGTGGGTGGTGGATGGGTCCACCCCCCAGCTCTGTCTCCCTAAGTGAGCATGAGGGGTTGGACCAGCCGCTGTCCAAGGGCCCTTCCTGCTTCTCAAGTCCCTGATTCCCAGTCTCATTCTCAAGCCCAGGAAGCAGGTCTGAGCCTTTCTAGTTGTGACCCTGAGGCCACCCTGCCCTCACTGGACCTTGTGGCTTAGGGAAAACATACCCACGTACTCAGTGCCAAAATAAGCTCCGGGTCTCAAAGATTTTGGTTTTCCCCAGTTTGGAATTGTTTTGATGTGAAAAATTCATAAATACATAAATTAAATCGGTTATACATTTAGCTGCTCTGGGTCAAAAGAAGGAATTAGTTCCAATCAGGGCTCCCAGGTTCGAGGACCCACTGTGCAGATCAGCAGTGTTCTGGTTGTCATAGCGATGTTTAACCTGCCCGGCTGTGTGCCCTGCGCTGGGCACTGCTGCAAGGGAGCGGGTTTTATGTCCCCGCAGAGCTGGCGGAGCAGGTGCTGTTATTACCACACCCACACCCACCCCCCGCAACACACACACACACACACACACACATTTATTAAGGTGGAATCAGAACCCTACAGGGTCAAGGCTGGCCTTGGACAGCATGTGTGTGTTTCCTCAGGGCGCAACCCCCCATCCCAAGCCCCAGGCAGGGAGCGATCCCTTCCAGAGCCCCAGTGTTCTCTCACTTATGCCCAGGACGCCCACTCACAGCGCCAGTGGCGGACGCTGGAGGCGGTGCGGCATGTCGGCGTGGCCATCGTCTCCAGCGCCCTCACCACGGTCATCGCCACGGTGCCCCTCTTCTTCTGCATCATCGCCCCGTTTGCCAAGTTCGGCAAGATCGTCGCCCTCAACACAGGTGTCTCCATCCTCTACACCCTCACGGTCAGCACAGCCCTGCTCGGCATCATGGCGCCCGGCTCCTTCACGCGGACCAGGACTTCCTTCCTCAAAGCCCTGGGCGCTGTGCTCCTGGCGGGGGCCCTGGGGCTGGGCGCCTGCCTTCTGCTCCTCCGGAGCGGCTATAAGATCCCCCTGCCCAATGGGACCTCCCTATAGCCCTGGCACTACATCTGGACTTGCACACCTTTGGTCCAGTGGGTGGGGGACGAGATGCTTGTTCTCTGCGCCCAGAGGCACTTTGTTTGCAGCTCAGCTACAACTCCTTATGTTCCCAGGCCTGGGCCAGACGTCACTCACCTGTGACCCACACTGCCTTCGTCGCAGTGCCAGCCCCTGCTGGGTGGTGAAGCTGGCTGCTGCTCCCCACTGCTGGACACTGGCAGCTGCCCTGCATCTCCCCCATTAGGGGAAGAGACCAGCCCTCCTGAACCTGGTTCCTACAGGGGTCAGGTGATTTTTGCAGGGGGCTTCCCTCTGCAGAATTTCCACACTCCTCAGTGCTCACAAGAACTTTCTGGTGTGGTTGTTACAGGGCCCCCATTCTATGGATGTGAAAACCAAGGCATCAGAAGACAAAGTAACTGACCTGTAGCAGGGTCAGTGGCACAGCCAGAGTGGCCTCCCTTGGGGACTCTGCAAAAAGAGCACAGAGGGTTCAAGGGCAGGGCCTCGCACCCCCTGCCCCCCCTCCCCATCAATTCTACGGCGGCCAGTGCTGGGTGGTCTTGTGGTCCTCCCTAGGCCTTTAGGCCCTGGCCTGGGAGGACGGAAGGACCAGCCTGGGTTACTGCATGTCCTTTCCCCGCCCCAGACTCAAGGGGATCTGCTCTCTGGAAAGCCATGGGGCCCCAGCACAGCCTTCCTCACAGATCTGAGCCCCCCACCTCCCCCACCTGACTCTGTGGGTGGAATTTAGGGGAGGGGGCAGCCCCTGGGATGGGGAGCTGGCCATGCCTGCTGCCTGCTCACAGCAGATGGTTCTTATTAAAGTGAAATGAAACTGCAGACCGCTGCCATTAACACGAGCATTTTAAGCATTGCTGGCTCCATTGTATTCTTCAAATTGAGAAAACTAAGTGTTCATATGGTGCCATTGGGTGCTGGCTCGAGGCAGGCGCTGGGCCTGGAAGGAGATGGAGGTGGAGTGGAAGGGGCAGGACCTCTGGGGAACAGGGTCACAGAGTACTCTGGGAGCCCAGAGTCAGGCTGGGGAAGTCTTGGGGGGCACCACAGGAGTGGGGCCCATTCAGCTCCCCACCAGGACACATTAGCCCCTTCAGTGTTACCAGTATCATGCTGTGACCTTCTTCCTTGGGACAGACATTGGCCCAGGGCATTAGGAAGCTGGACACAGACTGAGCTGGGACTGACCCCTTAGGGTGGGTGGATGGTCCCCAGGTGAGCTCGCCTGGTCATCTGTAAATATTAACAAGGGGGCTGGGCATGCAGGATAGACCTCAACATCTTGTCACCACCCGGTGCGTGCCTGGCACCCAACAGAGGCTCAGTATTTGCCGAGGGAGCATCACGTCTTGGTTCCCACGCTCCATGGTGAAGACAGACACCAAACACCGGGTAAATGGTGTAAGCTGACACATAGCTCTTACCATGCCAGTTGCTCTTCTTAGAGTCTGTCTTAGTAACAAAGTGTTTCAGACTGCATGGCTTATAAAGACAGGGATTTATTTTCTTGCAGTTCTGGAGGCTGGAAATCTGATGGAAGGTGTAGGCAGAGAGGGTCGTTCTGGAGGTTGAGGGGGACTCTGCTCCATCCCCTACTCCTGGCTTCTTTCTGCTGGTGGCTGGCCTTCCTTGGCGTTCATTGACTTGTAGAGGCATCACTCCAATCTCTGTCTCCATCTTCACTTGCCTGTCTTTTCTCTGTGAAGGTCACGTTGCCTCTTATAAAAACATCAGTTGTATCAGATCCAAATGACCTCATCTTAATTTGATCACCTGCAAAGATCCTATTTCCAAATAACCTCACATTTGGGACTTCTCTGGTGGTCCAGTGGCTAAGACTCTGCACTCCCAAGGCAGGGGTTCAATCCCTGGTCATGGACCTAGACCCCACATGATGCAACTAAGGAGTTCACACGCCGCAACTAAAGATCCTGCGTGGTGCATCCAAGATTGAAAATCCTGTGTGCCACAACTAAGACATGGCACAGCCAAAATAAATATTTAAAAAACAAAACAAGCTCACATTCATGGGGACCAGGGTTAGCCTCAACATATCTTTTGGGAGGAACACAATTCAACTCATAACAAGGCTCAACATGCATCAGCTCAGTTGTTAACCTTAGGAAGTGGGTGCTTGGACCCATTTTACGCATGGGGAAACCAATGCTCGAGAGATTGCCTTGTCAGGCAGCTGCTGGTGGTAGAGCCAGAGTTTGACCCCAACCAGCCTGTCCCTGGTGGTTCAGACAGTCAAGAATCCACCTGCAATGCAGGAGACCCAGGTTCAATCCCTGGGTCAGGAAGATCCCCTGGAGAAGGGAAGGGCTACCCACTCCAGTATTCTTGCCTGGAGAATCCCACAGACAGAGGAGCCTGGCGGGCTACAGTCCATGGGGTCGGACGTGACTGAGTAGCACACACACAGCCTGTCCCAGAGTGTGTGCTCATCCCTGAGGGTGTGCAGCCTCTCGGGGAATTGCAACAAAGGGTAGTGATGGCACAGGGGCACTCTTATCAAGTGGCTGCTTCTTAGAGAATCTGGATGGAAACCCTTCAATTTGCACTCACCCCTAAGAATTTCCCCATCAGCCTGTCTGAAACCTGAGCCATCAGAGGCCTGGCAGAGAGCACTGTGGCTGAAGGGGCTGGTCAAGGATTCAGGTAGGTCAGCCGGGGCTCCAGCAGCACTTGTAGGGGGTGAGGTAGAAGGCAGAAGGCCACTACTGCAGAGTTGGACATCTTCCAATGACAGAAAGGAAGGAAAAGGCAAACTTATAGGAAAAGTCCAGCTGGGAGGGGGTGGGGCAGGGAGGGAGCTGGCAAGTTGACAAGACGTCCCAGAAGGTGCTCAGAGAAAAGACTGCCATCTCCAAGTCCTTGGACTGAGACCTTCCCAATAATGTAGTATGAACGTGTGGAGGTATGGTCATTTGCATATCATTTGCATGCAGTCCGGGTCAAGCCCGTTTGTCAGGAAACCCTCACTCAGCCCATTTCCTTGCTTTTAAGAAACAGCTCCTCTTCCTTCCCCTTGGTCTTGATCTTCACAGGGTGCTCTGGGGGTGTCAGGCCGGCAGGTCAAGGGTGAAGGAGGCCAGGCCCTGATGTTGCTGTCACCTCCCTCCAACAGGTGACTAGGGCTCCTCTACATCAATACAACTCTCTCATGACCCTCACAGTGCTCCTGAGAGTGGGGTTCCCATTTTACAGATGAACACTGTGAGCCCCAGAGGAGGCAGTGACAGTGCATGGCCAGGCTGCCTGTGTCCCTGCCCATCTCTGCTTCCCTGCCGGGTCCACTCTCTGTGGATGGTATTCTTTATCTTCTCATCATATGTCCTGGTTCCTCAGGCCAGCATGGCAACTGCCCTGTCCAGTTCTGGGTCAGTACTCTCTCTTCTTGGGGCAGGGGTGGAGCAAGGCTGGGGGAGGGACATGTGCTCAGTCGTTTAGTCGTGTCCAACTCTTTGCGACTGTAGCCCGCCAGGCTCTTCTGTCCATGGAACTCTCCAGGCAAGAATACTGGAGTGGGTTGCCATGTCCTCTTCCAGAGGATCTTCTGGACACAGGGATCAAACCAGTGTCTCCTGCATTGGCAGGCAAATTCTTTACCATCAGTCACCTGGGAAACTCACAAGGGGAAAAGTGCTGGTGACTATTTGGGAGCTCCGGGGAAACTTAGCCACACCCTTCGCCGCCTACTTGGCTGCAAATAATTCCCCTTTCATCTTGTTTGCAAATATTGGCTCCACAGTGTCCCAGAGGCAGTAACTCCCGTGAAAAAGACCTTGACCTTCCTTCACCCACTAACGCACAGCTCGCGGTCTTAATGAGCTTTTGCTGAGCGCTAATGAGATGCCCTTCATTAGGTCGGGCACAGCAGTTAGTCTGGGATCTGCGAGGATGTGCAGGCATTCAGTGGGCTGGGGAGGGGCAGAGGGCCTGAGGGGAGCCCATGGAGAGGGACCCCTGTCACTTACAAAGGTTCCCTGAGCCCCTGCTTCTCTCTTCTTCCCTTGGAAGCCAGGAAATCGATGACAGCCAGTGCTTTAAAGTGCTGGCCATGTCCCAGGCCCCATCGGTTCACCCGGGAGTTCTTGCAGCATTCCTCAGAAGGGAATGTCTTTGTCCCATTTCACTGCGAAAAAAGAACCCAACCCCAGGGACTTTCCTGGCGATCCAGTGGCTGACTCTGTGTTCCCAATGCAGGGGGCCTGGGCTCGCTCTCTGGCCAGAGAGCTATATCCCACATGCCACAACTAAAGATCCCATGTGTGCATGTGCTGTTTCTTCAGTCATGTCTGACTCTTTGCTACCCCATGGACTGTAGCCCGCCAGGCTCTTCTCTCCATGGGATTCTCCAGGCAAGAATGCTGGAGCGGGTGGCCATGCCCTCCTCTAGGGCTCTTCCCAACCCAGGGATCAAACGCCTGCACTGGGAGGTGGGTTCTTTACCTCTAGCACCAATTGCGAAGCCCTAAAAGATCCCTGTGCTGCAAATAAGATCCTATGTAGCAAAAAAGAAAAATTAACCCCAGAGACATGAAGTAACTAGCCCGAGGTCACACAGCTTGTGAGTTATAGAGCTGGATTTCCCGCCTAGGGCTAACAGCTCCTGAGTACATGCCCTCTCTCTAACACAGCCTCACCTGCAAACAGATTTGATTCGCAGAAGCAGCCAGCCCCAGGCCAGCTGGGCAGCCAGGGTCCTCCCTCCTTCATGTTCGTCCACCTGCTTGCTTCTCTGAGAGGAAAGAGCAGCAGACTGAGAGTCCAGCGTTCGAGTCTGGGCTCCAGCCTAGGTGACCTGGAGCAAATCACTGCACAGTTTCAATCCCCTGGATAGTGGGGAGGGGACAGCATGACATCTGGGGCTCTGCCTCCTCCCACTTCTATGCTGCCGGATTTGAGTCTCCTTAAGTCAATCTGCCCCAGGTCCTCCGCTCCGTGGCCATCTTCTCCTCTGAGCCTCT